AAATCCAAAACAGAGCACTGTACCAGCTACTAGGAAGAAAGCTAACTCTATCCCAGCCAAAACCAGGACAGTCATTTATGAAGAGTCTAGCAGAAACATGAGGATGGATATAACAGCAACGCTTGAGGTAACCACTACATCAGTATTTTGCAGCTGTTAAAGTAACGAAAGTACAGAACCCCAAATAAAGCTCAGTCTATGTGCAAAGACAGGCTAACACTCTTTTTTTTTCTAATAAATGGACAAAAGTGCTTTGATCATGAGCGCTGATGATGATCTTGAACTCAGAAATTATGTTATAAAAAATCTGGACATTATGAGATTAAAAAGCTAGATTCAGTGAAATGTGTTTGTAACTTGAATAAGCATATGGATCAGACTTCTAATTCTTAGAGAACTCTGTTACTTGCCATGACAATAACATAAAGGACCTCAAAAAGTAGTTTTGCGAATAGTCAATTTATTACAAATTGCAGTATAGGGGAGCTCCCCAATCACTTGTCTGGAAAAATAATAAATCATGCTTTTTTGAAACCTATCTGGGAAAGTAAATAAAATTCATCACTTGTATGAATGCACCAATATTTACTGATTTCTATGATCCACAAAGTTCAGACCAACATTTAAATTATTTTCAGAGCGCTGATTCTAAGGACTGATGAAAATTTATTCTTATTTAAGCTGAAAAACAATTGAACCAAGTGCTACAAAAACCACTCACAGTTAGCACACTACCATTTGCTGCCTCAAATAAAAGGAAAATCTTGCAACCTTTTAAAAAATCTCTAATTGCATAGAATGTTTTCTACCTCTGACTCCCTGTTTGATTCCACAATATTATTTCTTCATTGTTGGGTTAGATGCAAAGAACTGACTAGTGGGTAGATCCCTCAACCTTTATAGCACACCACAAGTGAACTCATTTTTAATCTTCTGGTTTTTATCTTTGCAACTTCCTGTAATACTCCACCATAACTATGTTAAATGCCTAAATGGACAGTTTAATTATTTCTTCATCTCCAGAATCCCTGGTAGTATTTGAATTGTCTTGACAAGGATTTTCATTTCATTTGATGTTGCTGTGACAAATTTATCTGTTTAGAGCTCAGCTTCTGAAAGAATTTTCTATGGAGAGAAATTTTTCTAGTCACGTGGAATTTTATCTCAATTTGAGCCTAAGATTATGACATATTCCTAGAAGGTGTTTATGAAACAACTAGTCTTTCAGCAAAAAACACAAAAGTGTGAGTTTAGGTCATGGCAATTAACAATTTTGAGTATTTTATATTAAAATACTAAATGCTGCTTTTCTTACTCAATGACTACTGATTCTTTATTCAAGCAAATTTGATCCAAAGGACAACGTCCATACTCATTCATGTATCAGGACAGATAGATAAGCAACCTTCTTCCGCTGTTTGTCTCTATAGCTTTTTCTAATGTCATCCAAAATATACATAGAGTGCCAATCATTCATCTCTTTAAATCCTTATTTGTTTTGTTTTGATTTAATTACATCTAGGGCCTAACCATTAGTTTATTTAGTCAAAATAGTTATTTAGGCAAGGGAAACAAAGTGTGACATTTTACAAAAAGATTCAGCTGGGTCCAACTAAGTGCCTGGTACTAGGTAAAAAAATTATAAATATAGAATACAAGTTTTGGCTTCAGGATTTTCTCTTTGAAATATACACAGAAATTAACATTTTTTTCTGAATACCGTTGATCTACTAAGCTTTGTACACTGCTTGCTTAACATGTTGGATGGCACTTTTTATCAAATGAAAAAGAAAACTAAATGCCATTGATAACATATTGTAAAAGATCTATTTTTATTTCATCTGTTTTTATATTTCATGAATAATTTCTAATGACAACAGTGACATTTCGGATTCAAAAAACTGCAGTTAACCTTGTTATTTCACTGTACCTTAGAACTGATAGTTTTCTTGGAATCTGGTGTTGCTGGAAGAAAAGGAACAATGACATGACTTATACATGTTATATTCTCTACCTCTGTAGAGAGGCAAAGTCCATAGGAAGAGATAAGATCTTTCATTAGAACATCTGATACATGTAGTTGAAAAAAAGGTAAGTTTTGGTCTTCGATTCTAAGTTTGAGCATGCTGCAGATTATACTGCTTTTTTAAAGACAATGTAATACAGGGCTTAACATATGTCAAATAAAGTTGTCAGCAGTTGTTCAGTAAAGCAAATACATACCGTGATCATCTTTACAACAGCTTAAAGATGTAAAAAAGCTGACAAAGCAACTTCACTACTGCTTGCCCTACTTCCTGCCTCTACCCATAATTTACATACCAAAGTGCTCAATTAATAAGAAGAAAAACAGTAAAGAAATTAGTAAAACACAGAAAATTGCATAGAAAAAGTCAGTGTCTTAAGAGAAGAGTGCTATACAATGCTATATCAGTTTTTTCCCCCCTTCAAAAATTCTAAATTTAAATTCAATTTGCACATTACTTTGGTAAGATTATACATTTCTGTTTTCATGTTCCTCCATCCATTGTTTGGTTACTTCCAAGAAAAAACCCCACCCGAAAACCTCGTCATGATGCACAAAATCTTGAACTGGTATTGGTATCATTGGTATGCATGCCAGAACACATTTAGGGTAATCTCGACCAATGCTTAGGCCCTTTTTCCATGTGACAGCTCATTTGAGGTCATTAAAAATAGAATACATGTTTGACTCGAGAACATCAGGAAGTGAAGGGGAAGGGTAGCCATTTATAATTACCTGAAACAGGATATTATTGACACTGCCATTTCTGTGCAAAGAAATGAAGCATGTTTCTTATAGGCACCAAATTAAATCTTGGAGTATGTCTTAAGCTTCTTCCAAGCAAATTGCAAAACTACAACACCAATGGTGTGCAATGCACTTTTGTACTAACCCTTAAAAGGGGAACATTAAAGGCCACTGGTCTGATCCATTTAGATTTCCAGGCTCCTAAGGGATATTTTTCCCATGAAAAACGCTGCTTCTTGGTACATTGTGCAAGAAACTACATGAGGAGCCAAATTCTGTTTTTCAGTATATCCACAGGGCTTCTCTTTCACCAGTTTTAGCTGATTATTTGTATTCTAGGTTAAAAATGAGCCCTAAGTAAATATTTGTAAAGTTTAGCAGTCACAAAACAGCCCAGAAAAGAAAGTAAGGCTTTATATGTAGGAAAAGATGTAGATGCATTCGTGTAACATTTTGTGCATTTGTTAAGCAAACAGATGTTCAAGCACGACATCTGCCTCAGTTCCCTTCTAGACCTTTTGGAGGAATAAACTGTACCTTACCCTGAACGGAACCTAAAGGCTCATTTTGGTTGTCTCTTCATGCACAATACATGTCGAAACAACAGTATCACTGACATAAGGTCATCAGCTTCCTTCTGATATCTCTGTGCATGTATTTGTTGTGATTCATATGTATGGATCCTGAATTTGAAGGGCCTGTCATATGAACAGTGCCATGGTACACATAAAGTGTACCCTTTATGAAGTGCAATTGCATTACAACCAAATAAAATGCATTTGACTCTCCAGCAGTAAATCACTGGCTAACTCTTCTTTATTTCAACATTATGTTTGACTTCTAGCCTGGGTTTCCAACTATTCTGAAACACGACAGACTTCTGCCTCCACCCATAAAATCTCCTTTGACTGCTGAGACTGGGTATTCAACCCTTATTTTGGCAATAAACCGACAAAGGGTGGGGGGAGGGAGAACTAAAAAGCCTTTGCCAAAGTTAAGAAATACAGCTAATAAAGTTGAAATTTATATAAAGCCAGAAAATTAAAAAGTCACGGGAAAATGTCCTGCCTGGAACTGTGTCTGTGGCTAACAGCTAATCACGATTCACATAACAAAGGAGCTGTATTTCTGCCAATGCCTACTAATACCAAAGCATAAGCTACTTCTGAAAATATTTATGTAGATAAGCAATCCTAGGGAAGTGCAACTCACATTGTTAAGAGCTTCTTCAGAGGAAGCCATCATATCCCTGTGATACAATACTGGTGTGACAAGGCTTCTGAGTCTCTCTGATTTCATGTGAGTGTGCACCTAGATAAAAACATAGGGGGGAATGAAGGGAGGAAGGAGTCCCTGGTTTGCAATGCCCAGTGCAACATGTACGCTCCCAGGCACAGAATCCAGCAGCACCTTTTCATTTCTATCTGTATGCCTTTTTGGCTCTTCCATGTGCTCTTTGGCTCTTTCACTCTTCATTTGTGCTGCATATAGAGAAATACTAGCTTGCCTGAAGGCAAAAGAAGTATCTGTCAGTGTTTATTATTCAAATTTCTTTTCTCTTTCTCTGATTTTCCACCTTGCAATACCAAAATACACCCACGTTAATTTCTTCTTGACTGTTTAGCTGTGTGACACAGCTAAGTATTCCTTTTGGAGAAATAAACTCTACCTTGTTCTGAGTCGAACCCAGTGGCTCAGTCTAATTCATTTGATTTCTCTCCAAAGCATCTGTAGAGAGAACAGCATTACTGGCTTATAAAGTAATTGGCATCATTGTGGCATCCATTTCCACATACATGTTGTCAGATTATTATCACAAACCAGAAATTATCATAAGCTTCAGAATTTACAATTATCAACATGTCATTAATTCTTAGAATAATTCCTCATAGCAAAAAGAAATCATCATAAGAAGATGTACCTTTTTTTCTTTGGCATCTAGGAGTCTCTTCAAGGACATGTAAATGGAACAAGATTAACTGTATGCATGCACAAACATTAAATCCTATCTTTGCACAGGGAACTTAGAAAACTGTTAAATGTCTCAGCATAGATGCCCATGCACATTACATTATATGCCAAAAAAAATGGAGAATACTAAATACTTGGAAAACAAATTAAACACTCTAGTTCTCTCCACGGTTAGCAGCACATTATCAGAAACTGAAAAATGGTACTTCTTTATTGTTAAAATTTTTCTTCTACCTGACTGACGTTTTACCCATCAGAACAAAATCCAGGTTTTCCAGTTATCTGTATGCAGTGGAACAGTAGGGGGAGCTCAATGCTTTTTTCGTGGTAAATCTCACAGAATCATGACCAGTTTCTCAGCATAAGCAGATATTCATGGCAAAAGTTTTCTGCCATAAATACAAGAAGTTTGAATATGCAATGTAATTCAAAATACAGCTAGAATTGTTCTCAGTATCCAACTAAAATTCAACCACTGATTCTTCTGAAAATTTCCCAGTCTCTTCAAAGTTGTACAACCATTAAAATTTACTTTGGAGTAAAAAAATTAACTTCTTGCAATCTCTTTAAATATATAACCACCAAAACAAAAAAAAATTTCTGAGTATTTTTATTTAGATTCTATGTACGATAACGCAAAGCCACAATTCAAAATATAACCGAATTAGGAAGCAAGCTAATAGAAATACAACACCCTGACAGCTTGCTTCATTACTATACCCACACCAGGTTTTTATCCAATATGTATTTAAACCATCTTAGCACTCTATACAGCTCTCTATATATGTCCAAAGAAGCATTCTGTAAGTGTTGGAAAGTCTCTTTTCTCCGTCTCTTCAAATGAAACCAGTCATGTTATCCTTGTCCCTACAGAAGAATTTCCATAATTCTCTCAAATATTATTATAGATTCACCAATCTTCCTTAAGAGAATAGAGCACTATCTACATTCAATGTTAAGTGCAGGGGAATTTGACTAATATACAGCAACCACTGTACTACTACCATTAGCTGTATGTCTTAGGCATGAGAATTTTTTCCATTTGTGCCTAAATTCAGGTTCACAAATCATCCCATATTGGCTTAGGCAACATATTATCTGGCTATCTTATAAACTGAAGTTATAGTTATAACTAAAGTTATATAACTGAAGTTATAACTATAGTTACAAACTGAGGCTTACAATACAACCCACATTTTTACTTCAGTACGTAACTGAGTGCCTCAGTTCCTGCAAAAGTATCAAATGGAGGCCAATTATTTGCTATCTTCTAACTCCGCTTTCTCCTCCATTTTAAATACATTTGCAGGAATCCTTTCCTCAAGTATTTGTGATGGCTTTACATCAGACTTAAAGAGGACCATTTTTTTCTTAGTACTACAAGCTCTTCTAATGGATTCTCACATGAAGATAGAAATATACCTCCATTGTTACTGTACTTCCACTTAAAGGAAGACGTTGATTAGTCATTGTCTTAAGATCCTTCTCTGCACTCACTTTAAAACAATAAAGACTGGAAACAGTCTCCTGATGAGTATTTGTTATAATTTTATAAAATTATATGTAGCAATAAAAATCATTTAATTGGCCATCTGAAAATGCAATTGACCAGGCCATAATTTTTATCGTTATGTCACTTACCACTCACACATTTCCTTTTGTTTCTCATTAAGACATTTGGTAGTAATGTGCAAAAGATATTGATGCTCCTATTAATACAAGATATAAAGCAGATACAAGGCATAGAATTCATTACTGAAGCTTCCAAATTCTTGCAGTGAATTTGTGTTTGAATTGCATATTGAAAAGGCAATTTTAGGAAGTACTATTACAGGAAAGGGAGTATTTATTTTCTATTCACATTCACTGGAAAAGTATCATGTTGACTCATGATTTTACATACTCTAACACTATATATGGAAGTTCTGTGGAAAGAGGTATTTTCAGTTTCCTAGCTGTGAATTGTCAGTTTGCATTCACATACAAATTAATGTTTACACTGAATTTTCTCCATTTATATTTGTTTGTTTCTATGTTTGTGACCTTTTAGGACCACCAGGTGAAAATACATATATAAATGTGAGAGAACTAAAAAGCATTGTCCCTTTAAATCTTTTGCTAATGACAGACTCTCTCTGATTTATGGTGTTGAATGATACCTGAATCTGTAATGATAGTGTGTGGTGTCTGCTGGAATTGCACCAAGAGTATCCAGTTATTATTTACTCTGCTATAGAATTATTCAGGCAGAACAATACAGAAATATTTTTACTTCCGGTGTTGCTGCAGTGGTGATCACTTTATATTTACAGTTACATAAAATGCATTCTGCGCTGTAAGTATTTGATCCCAGCTAGAACACTTTGCTTACACTGAAATACAAAAATATTTTTGAAAAACCCCAATCTTACTGCATACCTGTCTTTTGAGTAGGCCTTGCTCAGGTATTTTAACTGAGGAAAGAATATAATGCCAGATGATAATTTTTCACTTTACATACTAAACTTTGGTGAAAGGTTGTGAAAAGTATTGTGGCGTGCTTTGATTTTGAACTTGTCTTCCATTATAAAATTATGGCCAATAAGGGAGTTACCCATAGTTCTTCTAGTGACATACTTTGGATTGCAAAAAAATAACCTCAGCTGCTACACTCTTTGGATGATGTAAGGAATTACAAATAATACTTTCCAATGAAACACTAAATGAACTACCTCGATCTGGGTGGTGTGTAACTCTTCTCTCCCTGTCTTGTGACACAGAAAGCTATAAGGTGGAGGTGATGGCCTACCAGATTATTGTAATGGTTAGACTATTTCTGAGGACGTACAATTAAATATTTGCTGAACAAAGTGGAGGATTCACACCATTACAGTATGTATGCTAAACATCTTAAAGGGAGCTCAGGGTCTGATACTACTGCGTATGATGATAAAAACCAGTGTAATTCCATTGAAGTTGATGGAGTTACAATACTAAGAAACTTGAATGAAATCAGAATTAGCTAGCATATATCCAAGAGCAGACTGCAGGAGAAGAGTAAAAGTTCGAATAGGAAAGGAATGCATGAGGTCTTACATAAACAATCCAAACATCTAATGCCATTAACACTTAAAACCCAGCAAAGCATGAGATACCCTACCGACTGCAAATGAACTAGACATTATACAGTCTCTATAGGTTAATAAGTATGCGTGATGAAATAGCTAGAGTAACTTATTTAGAATTGCACAAAAATAGAAACCCCACAAAGAAAAAAAGCTGCCTTGTAAAAAATAACGCTAATCCAAGAAGCTGAAAGGAAACAGTGCTTGAATGTGAAGAACATAACAAATAAGCATGAAATCTATCTTGACAGAAATGGCAGTGTTCCTATGTTGCCAAAATACAGATCTATAATTTAGGTCACAGAGGTGGAGGACTAGTATCCCACAGACTAGAACCTGGGAGGAACACTTTATCACAGACTTTGCAGAAGCTTTTGGGAGGAGATTTCAATCTATGTTGTTAACAAATAATAAAAATACAATACGACAGACTGGATACATAACTGGCATCCATTTCTGATAAAAACAGTAGACAAACAATACGACAAGAGTCATCAGAGAGACAGCAGGTGCTAATATCGAACGCTTAAATATCTCTTTTTACTGAGCTGCTGTAGTACTGTGACATCAGTTCGTACCCCACCAATCTAATAACGTAATTTGTGTCGTATGGCTACATCAAATGTTTTTTTTTCTGGTTCCACCAGACCTGTGCAGACCATAGGGGAGCAGCTGGCTGATGCTGCTGATCTAGCTGCTTATTGCCACAGAAAGGGTGGTCTGGACGACCCTGTGCCTACAGGCCACTTCCCTTCAGCGGGCTCGAAAGGTCACCTGAACCTTTGGGAAGCCAGTGCAATTCCTCAAACAGCAAACTAACTCAGGAAAAAAGAACCCCAGTAAAACAGGCACAGTTCCATCCAGAGTTAAGGAGTTAAATCAGCTGGTGAGGGCCAGGGCTGCCAGAAGAGAGGACCGAGGATGAGACGGTGCGGCGCAGGGGCGGGAACTGCAGGGTGATGGAGGGCAGAAGTCTCCCTCTGCCTCTTCTGTCCCACTTGCCTGCACTACCAGCACCAGGTGCTGCTGCCCGCAGCGGCCATCTCGCCCACGGGGCCTGCTGCCCACAGCGGCCGCGGCACCGACAACGCGTGCTGCTGACAGGAACCACCTCACTCGCAGCGCCTAGCAGGGGGGCTCGGCGTCGCCCTCGTCCCCGCAGCTGCCACGGCACCTTCCCTCCCCTTCAGCCTCTGCCGGCCCTCTCCAGCCGGAGGACGAATAAGCTCTGGACAAGCCTTCGGCCAGCCCCGAGCTCGACCTCCCACTCGTCAGCACAGACCTCCGGAGAGGGACAGCAGGCCACGAGGTCTTATTCTGCGGAGGATTTTCTCCCATCGCCGAAGGGCGGTTTCTGGAAGCGGCCCTGCGGCACAGGAAGGCGGCACGCCGACGCGCCCTGTTCTGCGGCGGGGCAGACCCAGCGCGGCGGCGGCGG